ACATGTGCTGAGTTTTAGGGTACAGTTGAGTGTCTCGCGCTGCTTGTTTTGGTCTGTGTTTGAAGTACCAGACCTGAAGCCTGAAGACCTTCCTGTTGAGATGCCATCAAGCTTTCTCTCCTCAAAAATCAAGTCATGTTTAACCTTCTTGAGAGCCTGCATGTCAAAGCCAAGCAGCACTGACAACTTCCGGGTCTCACAACGTCTCTCACACAGCCGTCGCTTTGCTGCAAAGTGACTAGAAATGTCAGACTTCCACAGCCACAGACTTGCAGACAGCTTCTCCTCTTCATGAGGAGAAAGGTATGGTCGCCGGTTAAAGTAGGCTGTCAGGAAATTTTTCCTGGCTTCATACGTCTTGTGCTCATAGCTTCTGGGATCCAAAGCAAGGCCATCAGATTCGGCCTGATTTCCAAAGACAGTGGCAGAAATCTTGGAGTCCTTGCCCAGTTTTATCCTCTTGGGATTGGACATGGCCTGCAGTGGTAGCTGCCTCTTGAGAAAGCCAGCCCCAGATGAGTTGAGAGTCAAGGCTGACTTGAAGCCTTGGCTTGCCTGGGTCCTACCAACAGCCCTGCACTGCACAAGATGCAGCGTGATTGTGGAGGCTACCATATTACTAGTGTACACCCCTAAGCAGTGAATGCACTTGTATGTCATCTTTTTTTCAACAGGATGCATTGTTTGGAGCACTTGATGTCGCTCCCTCAAATGCATGGCCAAAGCATCAGCGATGGGACCTTTGAGGATGGTGAAACACAGCGGGCATACAGTCTTGCCAACCTCACTCTTGCTAATTACTGAAGGGAAACCTCTGGGAAGTGGTTCACTTTTCTTCTCAATCATTCTAGGAGCAGGAAGCTTGACAAGAGGTGGAACACTATTCTGAACAGGGGCAGAATGATCTTGTCCATTGATAGGTTCCTTCATGTTAAAAGTGAGAACAGCAAGCTGAACATTGCTGGACTTATCTTGTTTAATGGTGAGATCAAAGGTTAAAGGTGATGCACCTGGAGGTCCAACAAACTCATCAGGATGGGCCTGAGCTACATGCTCCATGATTTTCTCAACATTGTGAAAAGCCGAGTGGCACTGGGGACAGGTTAACCCGTGGATTAGCATGTGGTTAAGCAGTGTATCACTAGGCAGGTACCGGTTGCAAAGCAAACACTTGCTGGTGAAGTTGTGGATTTTCATGATGTACTTGGCCAGCGCCCACACTTTCTTTGCCTTGTGTGCGCTCTCAAAATGAGCACTATACAAATTTTCAGGAAAAAGCTCATTGCAAACAGTACATATCTTCCACTTCTGTGTTTGGGCTGTGTTTACACCAACAGTGCTATTTTCAGCCACTGCGCTATTGCCAGGAACTGTGGCACGTACCTGACTGGTCGGGATAGGGGACTGATTTTTAACAACAGTAGCCATTGGCTTCAAATAGCCAATTGCTGGTTGTGCTATATGCTCAGATCTAAGTGCGTGGCCCCTGCTAATCATCAGAGGAGCCTTCTGAGACATGACTGGGTAGGACTGCGGCCTGGAGACAATTATATTTGCATGTCCAATCATGGTAGTTACTTGAGCGCCAATGCGCTCATGGTACTCTATCACGTGCTGTACTAGAGCCTCGTAGCTACGAGTGGAAAACTGGCATCGTTTACAGAGGATGTTGTTGCCATTGACAGAATTAGCACCATTTTTCACTGATGATTCAGAAACCATACCAAGATATGGTGATACAATATGCTGAAAATGTTCCCTGTAGATATGCCTTCTCACAACATTGTACAAAGTGTCCCGGAACGTGCATTTTTTGCAAAAGTACATTGCTTTCTCCACGCCATCTCCCTGTCTGGCTCTTTCAAGATACGTTTTGTCCTTCTTTCCCAACACAGTTGCTTGTAAGCTCCCATAATTCTGACGTGCTGAACTGGGTATGTGGAATATTTTTACATGTGTCTCCAAAGTTCTCTTGCTCGCAGTGAATGCGCAGTACGGACAGTTGAGCAGGATTTTGTTGTCAAAAATGTTTCTGTGAACACTGCGGAAGTGATTCTTGTAGCCTGAGTAGTATTTGGAAGAAAATGGGCACTCTGTGCAGCAAAATGGCTTTGATCGGTATTCCTAAAAGACATCAGTGAAAAACAAACAAACAGTGGCATTAAGAAGAATAAGGTGATAGATATGAGATATGGTGATTTGTGCATAAGTATTCAAAAAAGCCCTGGGCACAGAAATAACATTTACCTGTGTTTTAGAGTATGATGGATCCCAAGCACAGATATCAAGGCAAAGAGTGCCTTTAACAAATTGATCATTGGGGCAAAAGTCTTTGAACTCCTGCAAAAAGAATTGAAAAGATTTAGACACACTTGCTATTCTCTTAGTTTGTACACAACCTTGGATGTGTAAAAGCACACATAATATTTTAAGAACCCACAATGTTGTTTTTTTTGTCAATTCTGCTGAGTCAGCATCGAGTTGAGCTGCTATTTCTTTTACACATTTTCTAAACAAACCTTTAAAGTTGACACATTGAATAACAATAACCACCTGCACATGATTACAACTATGTTTTGAGCCATGAGCGATAATGAACACATATACAACATGCCACTCAAATCACACTCACCTCTGCAGCCTCCTTGCAGTACTCCAGTCCAATGTCTCCAAGTGCTTTTTTCACTTGCTTCCTCGCTCTCCTGATTCTTGTCAGGTTATTCACTGGGAGCTGATACATCTCTCCTGACAAACAAAAAAAACGAACCACTGATTCACGTGAACCGGTTTATTTTTCAAACAAAACACTGTGAGGAAATTCCTCATGATATAATCCTAAGAGCTGTGGTACAAAAATCATGTGAACTTGAGAAGTGCACTTGATTTTTAGGGTGACTGAGAGTGAACACAGATATCTACATTATAATGTTGTGTTAATTCACACACACCCCAACATCATAAAACAGTGACTCCCTAAAAGAAGGCAACTTTCACCTGGTGTCTCCTTTCAGTAAATCACTGTCAACACAATAATTGATGAGAACAGTTGAAAGAGGTGTGGTATTGTTTGTGGTTGTGTTTCGCTTTAGCTTTCTGACAGACCGCTGGTTTGTGCAGAACCCCTGAACCACAGTGCAAGTCTGTGATCTTTACTATCCCACCATGGCCCACTTATTTCGAGAGTTTTACTGTACATGTTGTTAGCTTTGTGAGCTAACGTTGCAGCATTAGCCAAAATTAGCACCACTACCCGCTCGCATCGGCTTGGTCACCCACTTAGCTACAAAGCTAGCGTTATATAGCCGGGCAGCGTTATTTATGTTGTTCGTTTTACTGAAGAATACGAACGGTGTGTTTTACTCACCTCGTGTTAGGTGTGAAGACTAGCTTTACATGGGTTGTATCACGACATTAATGGCTGATAAGGAGGTAAAGTAGCAGGTCGGGACGTGCAGACTGATGGTGATGTTCGCTCTCCTCAGCGCCGGTGCTGATGCTCAGCAGCTCCACAGCTAGCTGGCTAAGCTAGCTAGTTAGCCGTCACATCTGCTTTGCTGCGGCTGCTAGCTGGAGGGACGAATGGCCGAGCAGAGCGGTGCACATCTCTTGGAAACAGTTTACTCTGGAAATAATAACGGCCAGGACCACCAAGTGTCCTCTCTGACTTGCACCGGTGGTCAGGCCAGCTTGCTAGCTAACGCTACCTATACCTAATGATAAACTCTCAATCCAAAATGGCGACTACAAAAAGACGGAAGTCATAGTGAGGACCTGGGCAGAGCTGAATAACCCAAAGTTTGTATTCACTGTGGTCTTATTTTTGTTTTATTTTGCAGTTACACAAGCCAACATTTATTAATCTGTAATCCACATTCATGAAAACACAGCAGGGGCAACCCTTTTCAGTCGAGGCCATTTACTCTTGTTGCAACTATGACAAACAATTTAACATTTTTGGAAATATTCGTTTTAATTTTTTATTGCAAAGGTAAATATTGTTAAAATAGAACACCTATGGCAAATTGGGACAGTCAAGCTTTGCAGTGAGTATCATTTCAAGGAATACATTCAATAACACAAACCAATACATTCACATTGGTCAAGCAAATGACAGCATCCTGATACTGACATTGTTAATGCTTTACACACCTAAAAGCAAATATCCACTGTTTTATTCCAATTTGTTTTCTAATAGGATGTAATTGTGCATCAAAATCTGTAAGACTCAGTTATTCTATAAACTTATTTAACCATTTAGAAAAATGTTAGTGTTGTTAGTGTCCCACTTTGCAGACTGTGTTTTGATCAAATGGAATGCTGCTCTTTGTCATTTTGATCAGAGAAAATGTTTTTGAGAATCACAAAACACATACTGGCTTAAAAGAAAAAAAAATGTATATTCAAAATTGGTCCAAAAATAATTCATCTAAAATATGTTATCAGCTAGCTTGCTGGAACTAAACCAAGAAGAACTACCTCTTTACCTCTTCTCCTAGTGTTTAATATATTTAAAATAAATATTAAATATACACGTTTTTAGATTAGGGCTGCAACCAGCAATTATTTTCACTGTTGTTTAATCTGGTGATTATTTTCTTGATTAAATGGTCTTTTTTTCCTTTAAAATGGCTAAAACCAATGATCAGTATAGTTGGAGATTAATTTATTCGTTGACAACTAACTGATGAATTGAATAATTGTTGCAGCTCTATTTAAATAAATGAATTACGCTTGAAGTAAATGACGTGAGCTTATGCATTGTTTTCTAATTTTAGCATGGAGTTTGTATGGAATTGTTTTAAAAGCCCTGTTTAATTGTTTTATTAGTTTGTCAGGTGTGCTTTCATCATCCTGTTTTCTGAAAAAAATTTAATATTGACATTCCATATCTTTTTATATATGTATATATAGAGAGAAAATAAGGTACACCATTATGACAATGAATGTGTCCTATTTAGACAATAGCACCTGTTCAGCAGTAGTCTTAGAACATATTGTGATTGAGGTGGAGTCATTAGTTCTGTGTTTGATTGTTCTTTGTTTTTCCTTCTGAATTTTGTAGAAAGGAGGTTAATATTTAAAGAGTTGTGTCAATTTGGAAGCATTTGAGGCACTAAAATGATTTAATAAATTGTTCCAGAATGCAAATTTTCAGAACGTGTCCCATTTTAACAATGCTTACGCTCCAGTTTTACCAACTGTACTTGTATCCAAAACAAGCATTAGACTTTAATAAGGCAGCAGTGTTCATTCCAGTGGCTCCAAAACTTCCAGTACAACAATGCGAGGTCCAGTCATCACCAGTCTGGTGACGGTCCTGTAGTTCAGATCAAGGACACACTGGCCATTCACCTGGCACACAAACTGCTGCACCTAAACAAAATGATGTCATGTACATAAGTTCTATCTGTATTTCGGAGTGAAGTTTGCAAAGTCCTAATAGGAGCATATCATTTTCTATTTCAGTTTGTGTAACACTGATTTCACCTTAACTCCAGCAGCTGCTGCAGGGCTTCCAGGGTCAACAGCCTGAACATAACAGGGAGCCACACCTCTGACGACGAACCCCCAGCCCAGAGCGTCTCCTATCACCTAGGATCAGGTGAGATAAATTGCACTTCGACTGCAGTTCACACTGAAACACAATCTTAAGAATGTGTGGAGCTTGTCTCTAATAGGAGTGACTTTTGGTCGGGTGAAATGTAAGCTGTTAAATTCTGAAGTTTTTGTTAAATCATGATACTGACTTACTGTTAACACTTTCTTAATGAAGGGTGCACCAGGTGCCAGTAGCTCGTCACATGTAAAATTTCTTTTAAGGACTGTAAAACCAATAAAATAGCTTTAGTATAGTAAATGCAAAACTGTGATGACATTTTGAAACAGAGATTAATTGCACACTTGCCTGATTTAGGATTGCATCTCACCACTGAGGCTGAAGGCAGTGGAGCAAGAGGTGGAAATCCAGAAGCGTGAAGCTGAAGGGAATTCAGGCTGCCTCGACGTCCACCGGTAACCTGTTTTACGTCTTTATTAGACCCCACTGTTGTTAGGTTAGTGGTAAAGGGATTATACACAGTTATCATTCAGTAGAAAGTGCATGTTGTGAAATGCAGAATTTATTTTTTTTACCAGATTGGAAAGCACTGTTTTGCTCCTGGGGTGGGTTTTTACGTACAACAAACGGACTGTCGTGATGGTTGTCCTCTGGTGTCAGCACCACGACACCTTCAGCGCTGTCTCGCTCATTTTCATTTAACAGTTCAGAAAGGCGCCTGCGCCGGCGAAAATTGATGCAGAACTGATAGAGTAACCCACTGTCAAAGAAATCATGCTTCCTTCCCACTGGTGTTGGAAGTGAGAGAAAGAGAGAGAGAGCATAAATCAACAGTGGAGCATGTCTTAGATTTAGTTTTTTTTTTGTTTTAGCAAAGACTCAATGACTTTATTTGCTTTTGATTGCAAAAGTCCCAGATGGCCACCCTCTGCTGGCAGCCACTGACAGCTGTACATCAAAGGGCAAATGAGGACTCTCCTCACCGTGCTGAATGATGCCATTCTCCTGCAATGCACGGCACAGCTCCAGGCCCCGACGCCGGCTCTCTGCCTCTCCATTCTGAAGGAGCCAGTCGATAAACTGGCAGCCAGGGAAGGAGCGCTGATATGTAACACCGTGCTCCTCTCTCAGCTGCAGAATGGAGTCCTTATCCATTATGAGACTGAAGAAGCAGACACAAAAATCCCAGATTCCTCAAACAGCATAGCTTGCTTACAGAAAAAAACATAGGAGGGGTATTTAAACATACTAAATTACCAATATATAGTGACAAGACAGGAGATTATTGCATTGCCGAGTGTGTAATTTGATCTCAGGCCTATTAATCGTATTATGGTATGATTGACTGTGCACTTCAAGGTCATCTGAGCCGCCTCTTTGAAGAGATTTCCAGTGCAAACACAGCAGCTCTTACTGTTCATACAGCCGCTGTCCTCGCATGAAGACTTTCACCTCCGTATTGAAGGGAAATGTGCCATCATCCTTGCGGAAACGGTACAGCAGTTTGGCATCCTTGAACATTGGCCTTTTGTCACAGACTGAGAAGAGGCAGCATACAGGTCAAAACGAGTCACTATGATAAAGCTGCTTTTTTTTTTTTTTTTTGCATTTAGAATATCTCTTACTGAGGATCTCCTCCTTCTTACCGTGGTGAACAATGTCATGGTCCATGAGGTGCTGCATGAGACAGACAGCTGTTGCTCGGTCTGAAGCTTCCTTATGGCTCACGAGCCAGTCTATAAGCTCCTGAGCCACGAAGCAGTTGGGATACGTGCGCAGATGGTAGCGTCGGTCCTTAATCAGTTTGCCGTCGTGAAGTCTCAACCTTGAAGTGATGTTCAAATCACCCATAAGCCTTAAACTTTACATTCGACACATACCGGACCTTTAGGATTTGCCGTCATGTCACATCACACCACATCTGCTTCCTCACCTGAGCTGCTCTCCTGCAATCATGACTTCGGCCTTATGTTGTCTAGCCATGGCCTTTCTCCTCATGCTGTTTGTTCGCTCCATGTTTCTTATCTCTGGGCTACAAACTAAGTGAAGCTCACTTTAAGTTGTGGCCCTTTGTGTTTACAAAATAGTCATTGAAACACACAGAACCCAATAGCCATGTGGGAGAGATGTTGTGTATACAGAACGAAAGAGAGACAAAGACGTGGTGCACATCAGGCAGGATGCTGCAGAGAGAAGATATCCTGAGTGAAGTGTTGAAATTCATGTTTTTCTGTTTTGTTTTATTCATACCGCAATTCCCACTGTTGGCTGTTTTGATAAAACATACTGGAGTATATCCTTCACTTGTCCCCTATTATACAGTGCTTGCATTTTCGGTTATTTTGAGAGAAACAAATGACTTATGCTAATTGGCTTCATGGTGCTAATCGGCCCATTACAGCCAGTTAATGGATGTTTTCATGTAGGTTGTGTTTTCTGACATTGGTTTTGAAGTGTTTGTTCATTCTACTGTCGTTTACTGTGTCATTTTTCAGTCCAAAATCTGAAACATGGGAAAATGCAGGAGGACTATCTGGGGTGTTGATTGATGTTGTGCTGTTGTGCATCCTCCTGTTAGCAGTTGATGAGCTTGAATTCGCTCTTATTTTAAAGGTCGTCATTTTTTAGTTGTGTGGCAACAGAAAACCAGAAAATCTTGCTCGTGACACCGCTTGTCTTCTTGTTGTACGTGGCATGTGATGAATGATAATACAGGTCACGCAAGGTGGTCTTTGGGAGATGAAAGCATCTGTAGCTCACTGAGTCGATCCTCACAGGCAGCTCTTCCTCTCAGGCTGCATATTAAACCTGCCTACTTAAGCAGATCTTAACCCAAAACTTTATCACCTATAAAGCAGCTATTTAATTGGCGTAAATTGTAAAAGGTTTTTAACTATGTCTGCATAAAATCTCAAGTTCTTGGATACAAATCCGGCGAGGAGCTGCTCCTGCTGTGATGGTGGATATATGTGATGTTACAGCGTGTGGAAATGAAATGTTTGCATCGGAGACGTGACTTGTTTGAAGCTGGTGTTGTGCATTTAGGCTGTTAGCATCCTATCATTAGCATAAGTTAAAGCACACAGCGTCGCCCTGCCCTGCTGGCATAAATCCTATTATGTGTCCCTGAGAAATCCTTGCTCAGGCACACTGTCTCCTCTTTTCCTCTCTTCCCAGCAAATAAAACTGACTGAAACAATGCCTGGCCCTTCTTGGACAGCAATTTCTATTGGTTTTGGCTTGAGTCCTTTTATCTTGTCAGTGAGGCTTTCACTATCTTTAGAGTAAGCACTGCATGAGAGGGTCACCTCAGGGCTGGAACATCATTTAACCCTTTGATAGCCTTTGCTCTAGAGACCCAGGGGTGTCAGAGCTGTTTGTTGCCACAGGGTCTGGTAGTTTCTGGTGGGATGTTTAGCTGAAACCTTCAGGAACTTCTCTGTGAAGGGCCTTGCATCTGTAACCCAGTCCCGGTGCCATGCATCCCTGTTGTAAAGTTAACCTCTGTGGGCTTTCCTGCAAACATTTTTACACATGTGCACAACCCAGACTGTGAAATCAACCTATTGCTCACAGTAAAGTAAGTTAAAGTATCCCAAAAACAAATCCGTACACTAGAGAAGAAGCTTTAGACTGCTGCTGTGCTTAAGAAATTAACATTTCATGACAGTAAATTTACATTTAATGTATAAACCTCTGACCTCAACAGAACTAGATGTGTTCTTATTTGTGTTGATACAAGTTTTTACACATTATTCTGCAAAGCTTATTATATTGGGACTCCTGCAGTTCACACTTTTGTCCACAAGATATCAGTATGTACTTGCATTTCACAGAGCGGCCACTGTAGTTGGAAAGAAACTGCCTTCCAGCTTCCTTTTTGTTGTTTATGTGAAATCAAGCAGTTATGATGTAAAAACGACCACCAATTCTGAACTTATGATAAGCAAATATTCAGCAAGTGAAGGCTGAAAGAAAAAAAAGTAGATCAAATATTGTTCAGTTATTTAAATATATACGTTTAATTCCATATATTTCTTGGATTTGCTTCAAAAATAACACCAGTAATGGCCACACAAATCTGCATTAATGCATACTTTTTTTCTGGGCTTTATAACACATCTAACAATCCTGTGGGATAAATCGGCTTAAATATAAAACAGAGGACCAGTTAAACAAGAAAAAGAAAAAAAGACAAGAAAAAAAAACACATTGCAGAAAAGAGTAAGAAGCGCTGTGCAGACAAACAGGGAAGTCTATAGGTTTTGGTCAAATAATAATCACGAACAGCTCGTGGGGACAGACTCAGAGCAGCTTTTATGCAAATCGTCCTCCTCAGCGTGTTTTCATTGGAGAGCAGCGTGGAGGTGTAGTCTGGAAAGCGTGACATCATGCCAATGCAGCTCTATGAAGAAAGTGCGCTCCTCCTGAGCAGGCAGAGGTGCGTCCAGTCCTTTGGCAGCAGCGGACTTTTAGTTTGTGGCTCCTGAAGCCAAACAAGCGGCGCGGTGCAGAGTCACAACTCTGTGCAGAGTTTCAGAAGCTGGGAGCTTCTTTTGCAGGGATTTTTTCCCCCTCCCCATACGATTGTTTTTTTTATTGTTTTTGTGAGCTGAAATCAAAGTTTGGAAGTATCTTTGTTTTGTTTTTCTACTACTGAGTCCGAGCGCACTGACTGCATGAAATATCAGTGGACATTTGGAGCTCTTTGAAGAGACCAGTTTTGCCGTTAAAGATGACCGCTGAGGCGCATTCACATTTGGGACTGCAGAAACCCCCCATGGATTTCGTCAGCGACTTTGACTTGATGAAGTTCGGCGTGAAGAAGGAGACGATGCAGGGGCTGGATCGCTCCTTCATCGGGCCGTGCAGCCAGCTCCAGAGACCAGACTCCGTCTCCTCCACCCCTGGCAGCACACCTTGCAACTCGGTACCCTCATCGCCAAATCTGAATCCAAACGAGCAGAGAAATAATCCCGGAAGCGACCAGTTCTGGATACCCAACAACGGGGGTTACCCTCAGCAGATGTACCCTCAAGCTTTCGGCCTGACACCCGAAGACGCAGTGGAGGCCCTCATTGGAGCCACGGCGCAGCAGGGACACCCCTCTGCGCCCCACGGCCACCACCCGCCACCCTTCCAGGCTGACTACGAGGGCTACGGCCACCTGAACGAGCCTGTCCAGCATTACCTTCACCCCGACATGCAGGGTATCCCCAACGGCCACTGCCAGGACCCCTATCTGAAAGATGACAGCGCGTCTCCGGAGTCGCCAGAGGCCCAGCAGGTCCTCGGTGCGCACCACCACCTCCAGCAGCAGCACAGCCGCCACGACAGGCGATCCAACGCCGACATGCACTTCTCAGACGACCAGCTGGTGTCCATGTCCGTCAGGGAGCTCAACCGGCTCCTCAGGGGCCTGAGCAAGGACGAGGTGATGCGTCTGAAGCAGAAGCGCCGGACCCTGAAAAACAGAGGTTACGCACAGTCCTGCCGCTACAAGCGCGTCCAGCAGAAACACATTTTGGAGCACGAAAAGACGAGCCTGGTGTCACAGGTCGAGCAGCTCAAACATGAACTCAACAGACTGGTCCGGGAGAGAGATGCATACAAACTTAAATGCGAGAAACTGTCCGGTGCAAACTGTTACCACGAAACTGGGTCCACCAGTGACAACCCTTCCTCACCCGAGTATTTAATGTGAGTTTGTTGATTTCCTGCAGAACTGATTCTTTTCCATACGGAGGCATTCGTGTTGACAGCTCGCCTTGCTGTTGAGCAAACGACCCCACGGATTCATCCAGTTTTGAATCATCTCGGGCATAAGGACATGACTCAAATAATTGTAATAGATACATCTAGGCAGCAACATATGAATGGAATTTTTTGCAATGAAGCATGCATGCAGGACATGTATGAGATGTTTTTATTTTATACAGGCATATCTGTATTTTGTCTGACAGGAGATACTTGAAATCAGAGGATATTTGCTTTTATTAATATACAACTTTAATCTTCCTGCTTCAGTTACTGCTCAGTCTTCATTTTGGTGATTTTGCTTTCGCTTAGGTTTTTGTAGCTCAAATTATATTTTGTGTTCATGCTTTCTTTTTATTAGAAAACACACTGAAATTGAATGCTAGAAATGACATTATTTTTATGAAGCTGATTCTGCTGGACAGACGTGTTCCTTATTTGCTTTTCTTTTTAAGATAATTATGCAAAAAAAATATGCAAATTGTTTTTCATCTACAATGTTTTTCATTTACTATGGATCAATAAACCTATTGTGACTTTTTAAAATTGTGTCTCATCTGCTGACAAATTCCTATTCTGCAAAAAAACAAAACAAAAAACTGTCCCTACAGTGAAACATTTATCTCAAATGCACAATTCTGTCATGGTAGTGTAGTTTAATTGTAGCTATGGGAGCTATTCCAACATTTATTTTTTAAAACATAAAGGAAAAATGTGTTTTTAAATCCCTAAATCCATTAGAAAGGATGCATTCATTATATTATTTATACACACTACATAAAACTTGAGTATTGCAGTATTGCAGCGTGTCACTTAGTGGAAATATGAAGACATAAATATGTAGCTATAAAGACTACAATCAGAAAAACATCATTTCCACTATAAATTAAGTTTCAAATTGTTCTAATAGCAATTTAAAGATACTCAAATTCACAGTGTCACTTTCAAGAAGTCCACAGTACTTCATTATTGTGTTCAAAATACTTTGTTAGTCAGCCAAAAAAAAAAAAAAAAGAGGGCTTAGAAACGATCCGAGTGTTGTGTATTAGTTAGTTTAGTGGTGACTGAAAGGACGAGTGGCTCTCTCTCCTTCCCTGACCTTTGCCCTTCATGGAGTGCTGCTTCCTGTGGGACCCCAGCATGTGAAAGCACAGGGGGCCGACTGGCAGAGGCTGTGAGGCTCAGATAAAATGGAGTGGAAATCAGGCTTCCCCTCTGCTCTCTTCCTCAGACAAACAGATCACCTCTGCATTCATTAACAGAGGAAGAGAGAAACAACAACCACAGCACACTGCACCGTGCTGCTTTGGCCGGCTCCGAAGGAATTTTTTTTCACTCGATATGTTTTTTTGAGATCCTCGAGCAAATTTCCTGAACACAGATCATTCTCAGTTCAAGACTACAATAATATTTGGATGACCACATGAGTTCCAAGGCCAGCGTGATAATGTGTGATAAGTGGTTACGTTGTAAATTGAGTTTATAACCTCTGCGACGGCCTCTGCACAGAACATCTTAGAGAACATTTCACTGTCAGAGGAGACTTTGTCACAGTTCACACATATGTGAGAGTTTAGCCGGGCAGGTGGTTCGGTTAATGGCACCTCGCTTTAGCCTGGAAACCAGGTTCTCTTTTCATGTGTGACCCTTGGCAGTTTTGACCTCGGCCTCTGTTGAGGGAAAGCGGCTCTCAGTCACACCACAGGTGCAAAAGCACTTTCCTTCTGAGAACAGGCTTAATCCCTGAAGGTGACCACTGTGCTGGGAGCGTGTGACGTAGATGACTGCGTCTGCGAACATCGAGGATGTAGCAGAAAATATCCAGATGGTTATGGCACTGAGTATTGCACTTGTGTAGTTTAATGCTGCTGACAAGGGTGTGTTAATCAGTAGCTGTCACGTGTGGCACATGACTACAATTAGAGGTCCAGGTTTCCCTTTTTAAAGTGTGTGTAAACAGCAGTCCTACTTAAAGTGCTGTTGTCCAAAAAGTAGAATTTACTATCAGTGTTTATTTCATTAAATTGCTTTAATTGTATTATTTTTTAGGTTATTGTCACAAAATTTTTAAATATCATGATATCAATTGTATATTACATAATCAGGTGAAATTAGTGTTTAACGTATTGATATAACATTTCGATTGAATTATCTTGTATAGGTGTGTAGTTGCACATGCAAAATGTAGCGCAAGGTTTGCTTGTAAACGTTCACTTGCTCGTACTTTACATTGCGCACACTTGTGTTTTATTGGGTGTGGTTTTTTCAGACAGAGCGTTTCTGTATGTACGGTTGTGTGTTTGCGCACTTGCACACATCACATGTGGATTTCTAAGCAACAGCGGAATAATACAGTAGAAGTGTTGGCGAGGAGAGCGGTTTGTGGTACTGTGTGACAGTGTGCAGGGTGCCATTGTAGAAACGATTAGCCAGCTCTTTTCCCTCGCATGTGATAGGCTGGTGGGCCTGATGTGGGAGCCTCGCACTTCCCCCCTCCCCGCCACCAACACCCCGAGCCCACAGCGCCTGAGGCTGGCTACTGAGTCAGCAGGAGGGAAAGGTGTCTGCACGGCTGTGGCATCAGAACAAGAGAGAAAGCAAAATAGCTGGAGAAGGATAAAGAGCGGTGGAAACGGTTTAGAATAGACACGCTTGCATTTTTTAAAAACAGACAGCGAGAAGGAACGATGGCACGAATAAAATCAGAACAAGATGATGAAGCAGGTTAAAGAGGAAGCATCATCATCTCTTGTGTTATTTCAAAACCTCTTCTGCAGAGGGCTTTTTGTTTTACAGAGACTAATAAGGCAAGATACACTCTGAATTTAACTACTCATGCGCCGAATTATGCCTCTGAATGGCCGGCGCTCAGTGAAAACATGCAGACGTGTTCATCAGAATCAGTTGAACGTGGTGCCAACCTCTTGGCTGAGTGCTGGGGTTTGCCAAGGCCTGGCTGCTTCTCAGACAGCGGACACAGACAGAGGAATGCTGCAGATACTCACCATTGTGTGGGGAGAGGCAGAGGAATGCGGGCTGCCAGGCTACGTACACTAACACCAATGAACACAGCCAGAGGCCTCGAGCCATGAGGGAAGGCCAGGCCAAAAGACCCCACAGTCAAACATCAATTACCACTTCCATCTGTGATATCATACCCATCTCCCCTTGATAGTGTTGGTTTGGACTAGCTTGACTGTCCAAACTCTGAGTGTCTTGCTGAAGAGCTCCTGACTGCGTGTCACCAAAACTGTTGAGACCACAAATGAAATGGATGTTTTAGTCAATCAAATAGTAATTATTAGATCAGCTGAGTTAATGTTCTTTTGTTTCAAACAAGCACCATTAATCACTCAGTGAATTCCACATTCACAGCATTGATTGTCTCTAATCTTCTGTGGCTAAATGTCAGCTGACCAGACATTTGACCCCCAACAGCAAACCATTTCCAGCCCCAGCCAGTTCTCTCACCGCTGTTTTGCAACACTAAAGTTTCATACTGGGTGATTGTCTCTAAGAGCAACTTCACGTGAAGCGCAGGGCAGAGATTGGGATGGAGGACAGGATGGACGATGGGCTTCCTCTTTCAGTTCCTATATGAGGGTCCAGTCAAGTGACTCTTTGTGAGAGTGTTATGTTGTATGTCGCAGGAAAACGCAGCTTCGATGGCTGTGGTTTCCGCTCAGGATGTCCAGTCGTTTCTGCGCACAGTTGTGACACTGTGAATCATGCAGTGATCACACACGCACACAGACGTCTCCATGGCCATGGCACTCACACACACACACACAGACACACACACACAGACATGCGTATGCAAATCCAGACTCTTACACACACACACATATTTTTATAAAATCATGTGATGTGACAAATGATTTTTTTGTGGTCACAAATGAATCTTTTTCTCCACTGATTCTCCTGTCTGGATTATGACAGCATGCTTTTTCTCTGTTGCCACATCCTGAAAGATTTCACAGTAATTATGATTGTACTACTGGTAATGACTGAAGTTATCACATGATGGGCTGTGCAGGATCCAACGGAGTGGATTAATGTGTAGCTACAGAACGACAATAAAGCTTGTGCTGCTGTCTTATTGGCCGTAACAAGGAATCTGGCTTCCTGGGGACGTCGTGTTCAGCGTGTTTGTGCATGAACTCGTGGGGATCTGATAGGAAGACCTTCTGATAAAGTGCTTGTCACGTTTCAGTAGGCACCACTGAGAGAGGTGTGACAAAGTCCTGTCACATTACAGACCCTGGACTTTGGTTACGGAGCAAAGGGCGATCCACTGTATGTAATAATTATACAGGTTCCTCTCAGCGTGACAGAACCATTATAAAACAGGCCGAGCGTGTTAACAAAGGTGAAAAACAGAGTTCACTGGAAGGCACGGCGAGGGTAAATGAACTGTGCAACTGATTGGAAATTTATCAGCACATACATTCCAATGGTCTCAACACCTTAACATCTCTACTCTCTTCAGTGTGACTCTGCAAGATTTCAGTGTAAATAAAATACCTAAGAGTGAAGAGAAGAGAAGAGAAGAGAAGAGAAGAGAAGAGAAGAGAAGAGAAGAGAAGAGAAGAGAAGAGAAGAGAAGAGAAGAGAGTCTTTCCCTTTCATTCCCTGCTAGGATTTCCTGTTCTGTTTTATGGGGGTCATGCAGCTGGCAGGCGCCCTCCTGTTTCTGTCCATAATGATGACAGGCGTCCATTAGTGCACAGTAGAAACACGAGCCACAGAGGTTAAGTCAGGCTCTTCCCCCCCTTGACAGCCTCTTCCCTTTCCACAGCCCCCGGACCCCTTTACACAACCTACCTATCTATAGGAAAGATAATTGTGGCTCTCAGTTGCTGTTGACAAAGCTTCGCTGATTAAGGGTCAACTCCTGCTCAGACACCAGTGTGTGTGCCCCGGCGAGTTTACCACAACCTGGAAAGCAGGTCCGGTCCCGGGTGACAATACTGGGTCTCTGGTCTATAACATACTTGCATCCGGGAAAAGTAACATGAGGGTCTGGTTCTTGGGAAGAGCGCTGCAGATGAGGAAAATAAACAGATGTGGCTGCTGTTGGGAAATGAGAGACAAGACAGCACATTTTTATCGGTTTTAAATCTGTGTGAATGTTGGAGAGAGAGAGACGGTCTCGTGCTTTTGAGTCAGTGTCGCCGTGAGTTTAAATAAATGATGGCTCAAAAAAGTGAATGCAGCAAAATATGTCCTGGAAAAACAACTTTCTGGATCGGTTTTAGCCGAGAAATCCAGAATAGAATTTCCGAGCA